TGGGTTTTGGTCTTCACACTTGACCACCCGAGAAATGTTCTAAACATGAGGTCTTCGACCAACCTGCCCATCCCAAGGGATGTTCTAAACAAGTGACCACACCACATCATATATCCTGTCATCCAAATCATACAAACATTCCAAGCATAAGAAAATGTGCAATAAAGCGAGTAAAATCCGAAGAATCACTGAACTTCATTGAATTTTGCGTAAACTTTGCAATTTACATCTTTGTTCGAATTTTCCAGCTTTCTTAAAAAAGGGCAAAAAATTTTCACACATATAATTTTTTCAAATTAGCTATGTTCCATGACCTGGCAAGTGATCGGCCTTCAGCATCCTTCAGCGAGTACGCTCCTCCTGCGTGCACTCACTCGACCAGGTATGGCCCTTCCCAGTTCGGCTCCAACTTTCCTACATGCTTGAGCACATCGACGCGTTTCCAAACCCGGTCGCCTACTTGGAGTTTGTGAGTTTTCACCTTTTTGTCATGAGCGGCTCGCATCCTCTGCTTGTACGCCTCCACCCTGATTGCTGCTCTTCCGCGCAGCTCCTCAATAGTATCCAGGGCTGCCATCATTAGATCCTCGTTTTGCTCGGAATTATATGTGCTCGACCTCTGGGATGATAGCTTGACCTCGACCGGCAGCAACTCTTCCATTCCATAAGCTAAACTGAAAGGGGTTTCTCCTGTTGTCGACCTCGGGGTTGTGTGATATGCCCAAAGTACCGAGCTCAACTCATCGACCCATGCTCCCGAGGCCTTTTCCAGCTTTGTTTTCAGCCCATTCAGTATGATTCGGTTGGTTACTTCGACCTGGCCATTGGCTTGCGGATGAACAACGGAGGCAAAGTGTTGCTCGATTTTCATGTCTTCACACCATGCTCGAATCCGCTTGCCATTGAACTGAGTACCATTGTCGGAGATCAACACTTTGGGCACGCCAAACCGGCAACAAATGTTGTTGTATAGAAATTTAATTACTTTCTCCTCCGTAATCTTCGCCAAGTGTTCGGCCTCCACCCACTTTGTGAAATAATCAACCGCCACTATCAAGAACTTCCTCTACCCCGTTCACTGAGGCATCGACCCTACCAGGTCGATACCCCACTGGGCGAATGGTATAGGGGCACCCACCGTCGTCATTGCTTCTGCCGGTTGGTGAATAAGGGGGCCGTGCTTTTGGCATTGTAAGCATTTCTTCACCATCACCTTCGCATCCTCCCTCATCATTGGCCAAAAATATCCTGCCCTCAAAATCTTTGCAACCAAGGCCCCTAACTTACTATGATCACTGCAGCATCCTTCGTGCATCTCTCTCAGCACATATCGACCTTCCTCTTTAGTAACACAATGCAAATGCGGTCCCGCATACGACCGTTTGTAAAGAATGCTTCCATGTTCAAAAAATCTCCTCATCGCCTTTATCGTTCCCCCTTTCAGCTCCTCCAGGATAGGGGCCCTCCAATCCTCCACTTCCTCAATCTCCGCCACTTCCGCTTCGACCACACTCTTTTCGAGATGCAATAAGGTGACACTTCTGCTCTTACAATCCACCAAGTTTTGAGCAATTTTCGATAACAGGTCCGCTCGACCATTTTCTCCTCGAGAAATTTGTATCAGCTCGAATGAATCAAACTCCTCTTTCAACTTCCTCATCTCATCCACATACTTTTGCATCCGGTCCTCCTTAACTTCCAACCCTCCTGAAACTGCCCGACCACCAGTTGAGAATCAAAATGCACTTGTAATTTTCGGGCTCCTCCCGCTTTGGCTAAACTCAAGCCTTTGATCACTGCCTCATACTCGGCCTCATTGTTGGATATCTTGAACCCCACTTTAGCCACAATTCCAAGTAATCGCCCTTAGGAGAGACAAGGAAAATTCCCAATCCTGCTCCGCTTCGTGCCACAGATCCGTCCACAAACAACTGCCATATTCCTCCTAACTCCTCCTCAACTTTCGTGCCTTCCTGGATAAAATCGGCCAACACCTGCGCCTTTATGGCCCTTCTTGGCTCGTACAACAAAGAATATTCACTCAACTCGACCGCCCATTTCACCATTCAACCAGAGACCGATGGTCGGCCAAGTGTTTCTCCCAGCGGCATGTTTGTTCGCACCTTCACCTTATGGTTCAAGAAATAAGGCCTCAACTTTCGAGTAGTTACTACCACAGCCAAAGCACACTTCTCGATCTCCGAATACCTCATCTCTGCCCCCTGCATCACCCTACTCACGTAATAGATAGAAAATTGCGCTACCCTTTTCTCCCGAAATAACACCGAACTCACAGCCCTCTCTCCAATAGAAATGTATAGCACCAACTCCTCGCCCTGTACGGGTTTAGCCAATAAGGGAAGATTGGCCAACACCCCTCTCAACTCCTCAAATGCCCCCTGCGCCTCCTCCGTCCATTGAAATTTTGAGCTCTACTTTAGTGTTTTGAATAGTGGGCCACTTTTCTCCGCCACCTTCGATATGAAACGACTCAGCCCCGCAATTCGACTAGCTAAGATCTGCACTTCCTTAACATTCGTCGGCGGCTTCATCTCTATTACGGCTCAAACCTTTTCAGGATTCACTTCAATACCTCTCTTGGTCACCAAGTAACCCAAGAATTTTACCGACCTCACCCCGAAAGAGCACTTAGCCGGATTCAATTTCATCCCATACCTCCGCAATGTTGAGAACGTCTCTTTCAAGTCTCGCACATGATCCAACTCCTCCTTGCTTTTCACCAACATATCATCCACATACACCTCCATGTTCCTCCCCAGTTGCTCCTTAAAGATTTTATCGACCAACCTTTGATATGTGGCGCCCGCATTCATTAGGCCGAATTGCATGACCACGTAACAATAGGTTCCTCGACTCGTTACAAAACTCACCCACTTCCTGTCCTCTCTCGACAAGGGAATTTGGTGATATACCTAGGAGGCATCCATCAGGCTTAGCAGTTCGCACCCCGCCGTTGAGTCGACCAGCTGGTCGATTCTGGGTAGTGGGTATAAGTATTTTGGGCATGCTTTGTTCAGGTCGCGGAAATCAATGCACATCCTCCATTTTCCCTCTGCCTTCGACACCATCACTGTATTCGACGACCATTCGGGGAACTGGATCTCCTTGATATGCCCTGCTCCTAATAGCTTCTCAACCTCCTTCTCAATGATTTTGTCCATCTCCGCCCCATCGTGCCTTCTTTTCTGCTTCACCGGCCTCACACTGAGGTCGATGTTCAGCCGATGCTCGATCACCTCCGCATTTATCCCCGTCAACTCCTCTGCTGTATAGGCGAAAATATCAGCAAATTCCCTAACCAGATTGATCAGCCTCGACCGAATAGGCTCCTCCAGGTCCTTCCCGATTCTGAACTTCCTCTCATCACACCCCTCGATCATCTGAATCTCCTCTACTTCTCCCCCTGGCTGGATATACATCTTCTCTTTACCCTTCTCCATTCTCTGTTTATCCTCTTTCGACCTCGACCCACCTAGTCGACTAACCTCCTCTTCCTTTGACTTGGCCTGCCTCTTTGCCAGTTTCTTGCTATTGCTCACCGTTGTTTGATAGCAACTCCTTGAAGCGAGTTGATCCCCGACAATCTCCCCTCGTTTTCGCCCACAAGATACTTGATCGTCATGTGGTACGTGGATACGACCGTCTGGAACGCATTCAAGCTCGTCCGCCCCATAATGATGTTATAAAATGATTCAGCTCCTACGACCACAAACCTCACCATGCGCACCTTCCTCAGCTCTCCCGCTCCAAACGCCACTGGCAAACTTATCTCGCCCATCGGCACCACCTCTCCTCCATTGAAGCCATAAAGTGCCGTGGCCACCGGCTTCAGCTCCATATTCAACTCCTTGTTAATTTGCACAAAACAGTTGTAGAACATCACATCTACCGAACTCCCGGTATCAATAAACACCCTCTTCACGTCAAAGCCTGCAACCTCCGCGTTTGTCACCAAAGCATCATTTTGCGGCAGGACCACTCCCTCGGCATCCTCCGCCTTGAAACTTATCACCGACATACGAGCCGTAATCCCCACCTCTTCTCTTTTCCTCTTAGCAGCTCGAGCATGCTCCTTCCTGGCCCTATTCGAGTCACCATTCGTTGGCCCTCCGGAAATCATGTAAATCGTTCCTCTTTTCATCGGGGCCTCTCCTCCCTGGCCCCCTTTATCTCCATCTCTTCTCGGCTTTTTTCCTCGACCGCCTCGGCTCTCTCCGCCGTCTCCTTCTTCATCCCTATCACTCCTTTCCTCCGAATCATATCGACACCTTCTCCTTCCTTTCCCTCTCGCCCTATCATGATACACAAACTCTTTCAAATGTCCTGCTCGAATCAACCTTTCATTCTCATCCTTCAAATGCCTGCAGTTCTCCATGGTATGGCCGTAATCTCGGTGAAATCGACAATATATATCTGATCTGGGTCGAGTCGGGCCTGTGAACCTTGTCTTCGGCCACGTCACATCCTCGGTCGACATCTTCTGCTCCATAGCCTCGAGCACCTCTGTCAAATCTTTCCTCAAGGGTGTAAAATTATGGTACCTCTGTCTTTCGAACAACAATGGCCTTCCCTGCCACCTATCGTCCATCTTCTCTCGCTTCGAATCCCGACCTTCCCTCCTTGGTGATGTCTTTTTCGACCCACTTCTTTTGGGCGAACTCCTCCTCGGCGACCTCCCTCTTGGTGGGGTTTGCTTCTTCTTTGGCTCTGGTCGAGCCGGCCCTTCCAACTTTGCGAACTCTACCTCCATTTCCTCCAAATTAATATACTTCCTGCAACGCTTCAAGACCTCCTCATACGATCGAGCAGGGGTCTTTGCCAGGGACGTTCGGCAAGGCCCTGCTCGAAGACTTCTTATCAATCCTCCCGCCTTCACCTCATCTGAAGCCGAATGCACCTCCAAACACGTCTGGTTATATCGAGCGACATAATTCCTCAATGACTCCTTCTCCCCCTGCCTCATTGCCATCAACGTCAAATACGTTTTCTCATGCGCCACCGCGCTCGAATATTGATTGGTAAGCTTACTGGCAAAATCCTCAAAATCCGCAATCGACCCAGAGGGCAACTGGTGAAACCAGTCAAGGGCTCCTCCGCGCAAGGTCGATAGAAATGCCCTGAAACAAACAGAATCAGAATATCCATGTAACACAGCCATATTTTCAAAGGTCCTCACATGCCTCGACGGGTCAGAAGACCCGTCATACACCAAGTTGGTCTCCTTGAAATTATTCGGCAAAGGAGCAGCGAGAATCTCCCTCGAAAAGAGATGTCCTCGAGCTCTCCTCTCTGACCTCCCCTCCACCTTGTCCTGCAACTGGCGCAACTTCTCCGCCATCCTCTCCATCACCCGATCTCTTCCAACTCTTCCCTCTCCATAACTGGACACATCCTCATCTTGGTTTTCGGCCACCGTGGTCGGCGCAGTGGTGGCATGAGATGTGTGGCTCGTAACTTGCTGCACCGCCTGCGCCGCCGCGGCCGCCGCTATCCTCTGCATCTCCTCCCGGGTCATCATCACCATTTTCTGACCGGGGGCTTGTACAACTGCCTGTGGTGGCGCTCCTTCTTGCGCCATCGCTCCTCCTTGCACCAGTGTTGGATTTGGTGGCGGTGGCGGTGGCATCGCCGCCGCGGCTGCTGCGCGAGCCTCCTGGGCCCGACTAGAGCTGACATCTCCTCTGGGGATCACCGTCGTCACTCCCACACCTTGAAGGATAGGTGTAGGAGTGATCAGTGCCTGCGATGGGCCGGAAAAACCCGGAGGAAGGCCCTGCCCTAACGGCCTGGTCGTCTTCCAAGCTTCATCGAACGTTGACTGCAAGTTTTTGAATTTCGTCCGCCATAGCTGAGCTTCAAACACAACTTTTTAACGAATAATCCCCACAGACGGCGCCAATAATGCAGGTGTAAGCATTCTGGTCCGATTTGGAATGGATCGATCTTTGTCCTCGCCGGTAGAACGCTGGAAACCTGCAAGTAACTCTTACACCGGGGGTTGTGTCCAGTGAAGAGCCTCCGATGCTTAAGTCAGTATATGTATGAGTATACTGAAGTGAACAATGAATAGAATGTGTTAAAGGAGAAAGGCTCACCCCCTTTATATAAGGGTGAGATACCTGCCCTAATAGCTGCCCGGATAAGATGAGCTGGCTTCTCAAGCTGCCCGTCCGTACTCTGACACACCGCGTGCATGTCAGAGGTTGCACGGGGACGTTGGGGAGCTGTCATAGGTGGTTATCGATATCCACCAATGTATTCTCGACATGTGTCCCCCTGCACATGGAGTAAATATTCTCCTGAGATTCGGTCAGAGGTTCCCACACGCGCCTATGACTAGGCCGACTGTTAGGTCCTCGAAGCAATCGACCTGATGAGGTCAAACAAGTTGCTCGATCACTTATCTGGTCGAGCGATGGATTTGTTTGACTATTTGCCTGGTCGATTATCTAAATGATCGATCCTCCCGCCTTTTGGCTTGGCTTCCTCTTGGTTTGATCTTCTCGACCGGCTGGGCAGACCGGTTTGGCCTTGTGTATATAATATCCCATATTCATTGTCTACCATTTCATTGTCTACCATCTCATCGTCGATCATCATCATCCTCGATCGTCACTCTTATCTCCATCTCTCGTCTCTCTCGATAGGATTAAAAAAAATAGGAAGAAAACTACGAGCTCTCGGCGATCCCTCAACACGCAGTCCGACGATTATCATCACCATCAGCGATCTGTTCTCTGCCACCGGATAACGCAAGGACCATTCTGCGCCATCATCTTTGTGTCCATCCCACAGGCCGCCAGACATCGCAAGAATTCCGACGAGTTTCTCTGCTCGCGAACTAGTCACCGCGAGGAGGACCTGAAGGCAAGTCGCTGCACATCTCCTCGCCGCCGTCCCGTCGAGTCCCAGCAACCCGACGAGTTCCCGACCCAGCAACGTCGACAATCAATGAGTTCTGCTACTCGATCGCGACCCCTCCCCCCAGCGAATCACCATCTTCCCCGTTCGGTGCTCGTGAGGAGTCCCACAGTCCGTAGGTCCACCGCCGTCGCGCCCGTCAACCTGCCGCGACCACCTTACGCATTCCTCAATGACCAACAAGCGTGAGTCCGGCGAATCAGACCATCATCGCCACCTTGAACGTCCGCTGCAGGCCGCTGTTTCTCCATGCCCCTCGAGCCAAAATTGTTTAGCCCGACGAGCATGCTCCTGGCCTCCGAGCAACCCGTCTCGACTACCATTTTGTTCGTTGTCGCGAACTAATCTTGAGAACGGTGTTTGAGGAGTCAAGCCTCAACCTACATCTCTTTTGTTATTTTTTGGTATCAATCCGGAATCCAGATGGGCTTATTATTCAAAAAATTGTCTATGCCTTGAACTATGAATATGTTTACTTACTTGGGTATGATCAAAGTATGAAATATGTATGTATAACTTTCAGCGTGAGCTGTACCGGCCATCGAACGTATCCCCGTTGTTATAGAACATACCCCGAGTGGGTAATCTCCTCTTGTGATGGTGTAATATCCCGACTTTTTATCAGTATAATAATATTTTAGTTCCGATA